ACTCAGATACCTAACTAATCGTAGAACGTACCTGAGAACGTGAGCCGGTGTGCAAGATTTTACCGCAACCAATAAATGACGGATTTTCCCTCCATTGCTCATTCTGATCTGACATTCAACTATAGTTGATAATTTGAGGAAATTACAGATTGAATTATGATTTATTTAAGACAATTATTTCCTTATAATATTGTGGAGTTATTTATTTAGAACTGAATTAGGTAGTTACGTATTTATTTATGAGCAATAGCTATTAAAATCGAACCGAGGGTCAATCGTCTCGATGGTCCTAGTTAAGCCAGTTAAGATGAAACTGGTGGGACTCCGATGTACCAACATGAAGTATAAAGTGTTCATAGGACTATAATAGGGACTTTAATGATTTTCCCCCCTTAAAAAAAAAAAAAAAAAAAATGATACTTCATTTACAATTTTTCACAATTGCATCGGCTAAACGTGATTGATTAAATGAAAAGACTAAGAACTTATCTACAAACAGTACATTTAAAGATCATTATTCTTTAACCATCATTTAATTCCAGATTACAATCGTATTATCGTATGACGTTTATTTTGCTTAACAAGCAAAACAGTAATCACTGTATGAACGATCACGGCGACGTACCCTTGAGTTTAATACTAGAGTTTTGTAAGTAATGACTGACAGGTACTTATTTACTGGCCCAAGCATTGTATTGTTAAGGCTTTTTCCTCTACGTTGCAAGTGGAATTCAATCCCCACTTAAACGTTTAACGGCTACGAATCAAGTTATACAGAACCAGTATAAATGTATGTATGTATGTATTTACAGTTATGCATCACATAAACCATTCCTATTACACCTACTGTTGCACATCTCTGCATCACCCCATGGTTGACTGTTAGAGAATGCCACCCGGCATTAAGTCCGCCATCGTATGTTTGCTATACAGAAGTGTTAATAATAAATATAAACTGATCTTCGAATATGCGAAAAGATCATACAAAGCGAGATCATCATAAAGATCACGTTTAACGCCATGGCAGTCACCGGTGACCGACATTAGCGGAGGATTTGCCTTCAACAGTTTTTTATTGGTAGCCAATGCTTTAACTTAGCTTGTTGTGTAGTCATGACCTTTTTTTTTCAAAGGGAGGAAATCATCGAATTACTACTCCCGACTGGATGAGGCGGGAGGGAGTGTCAGATTCTTACTGATTAAAAACCACCCCGTTCCTACTCCTGCACTTCAAGCCGGAGCCCCGGTAACCCGATAGGTTCTCCGCGACTCTGAGTGTAGTTATGACCTGAAGTATGCTTAACACGGTAAACTTTGTCGCCATTTGATCTAGCTTTAGGTTCCTGATACGATAATTTGGGAGTGTTTTATGTGGCGACGGAACTAATAAAAATAGGCCACATTTACATCATTAACCTCATTATTATCTAATGCTGGACAATGAACATTGGCATGTCTAATAGCATTACACTAACTTCGATCTTCAACTCAATTTATAGGTATTATTAAATAACATCTCGTAGGTACTTTGAAGTTGATTAAAACTGCGGAGAAGGCACATATGTAGCTCAATGACTAAGCAAATTGTAGTCAATCCCAATCAGAATCCTCGAGAGTTCGAGACTCGACCAAAACTTTGAGAAAACCCGTGATCATGTATTGTCATCGAACACAGAACATGCCTTACAATTCAATTTTAAAACAATTCAAGACTGCTAAGACACAGTTTCATGGCAAATGGAAGTTATTTCAAAGTGTTTAAAGTAGGACAATTCATTCATTTCAATAAAAAATAGGTACATAACTCAGTCGATAATACTGTTATTAGTTATACTCCGTCTGTTTAGGTAGTTAACTATTTGTAAACAAACCATAAAAAGAGTTCTTTATAGTTGACATTTCCATGACTCAAAATACTTCATAAGAAAATAAAATTGTTTCCGTTTTTACGACAGTTTTCTCTATTAAATGTTATGTTTCTGTTCCTTTTCACTTATTTCTAAGTAAATATTATATATATCTGCTTGAGCATAATAATTTAATAACATTTATTAAATAATATAATATTTCATTACAATAGACACCATAAAGAGCCTAAAATGCCAGGTATCCAAAACCTTTCTTTATGAACGAAGCTTAGACAATGTTGTCAGATTATAGAGTACAATTAAGATGTAGCGCGACAATGAAAGTAGCGTGTATTACGTTTAGTCGGTTAATCAGGCGCCATTGACAGCTCTCTCGTCGTTTGCGCTCGCGTTCCTATTTTGTTGAATTTATCTTGTTTCTTTGTTTTGTTTTTGTTATTACGTTATTTAAGTTTAGGTTATTCATCGTTTGTAATTAATGTGTTCAAATATATTGAAGAAACTTGACCCAAAGACACATATCCGTACAAGAAAGAAATCCGTACATCAAATTCAGAATAGTTTCTATTTAAACATGATAATGAAATAGACCCGTAGGCTAGGCTCTTGTACGATTTAGGCATTTGTGCTTGTATGTGTGTGTGACAAATGAACGATTTTAAAGTGAATTTAGTTTAAATTAAAACACGAGAAATATTTGAAGTAATAGAAGGTTAAGTATCTCTGTGTCACGTGGTTTTGTTTGTTTACCTTTAGTTAATTACCTAAACAGATGGACTATAGATTGAAAGCAAAAGATACTTCGCTTGAATGCATGTGCGTGTAGAACCGAGTATGGCAAAGATTTAGCTTAGTAGGTCAGTCGAGGGCTTCTGTTGTGTAGCTTGTTATCAGAAAGTCTTAGTTTTCAAGGTTAGGCTTACTTAGAATGAAGAGAATGGACAATTATTTTCTAGTCATTAAAGAAATAATCTAGGTATAACTAGATACTATCTATATCAACGATAATTAAGCTGAAGGATTGGTTTGTCTGAACAACTGTCTAGGATCCCTCAACGGAATAATTAGAAGATATTATTAGGGGATAAGAAAACCGAACGAAATAGACGATGCTTGATAAACAGCTGAGTGAAATGTAGTAGGACAACACCACCACTATTATCCGTATAAAAAAAATAGTTTTCCGTCGTCCCCTCCTCGGTTTTCTCCTAGTTCATCTAGAGATGTACGTGCAAAAACACTGAAGCCCGGCTTCAGTGTTTTGGTTGTATCGATTTTAGATCCTGGCTTATTGGCGGTTTTGAGATTTTGTAACGGGATTATCCCAATAGCATGGGCTGCATCGTCAATATGGTTTAGTAATCCTAACTTGAGTCTAAGAAGTCTGTAATCTGTTAACAATGGCCAAATTTAGACACGTGTAAGTTTAATAGTTTATAAGTTGGGCACATAAAACCTAATTAGGTATCATACGATTTTATAGCTATAATCCATAGCAATTAAGATAATAGTAAAAAAACCTGATTTAAAAAAGGCATATGAATATTAAACTTGTTTATTTGTTAAGTATTTAAATTTCTTGTTCGCCTACTCTAGTCTATGACCTATACAAGACCTATTGCCATATGACCTTTCAGTTTCGCCTGACTGATGAGAAAAACCTGATTTTAACAACTTACTTCGCCTTATTCACACGTAGGTGCCTATTAGAAGTTAGATATTTTTGGATCCGGATTTAAAATTGTAATAAGAACAACCGATCTTGATCCAATACAATGACAATTGACAGATACTACATAGACTGACAGAGGTACATTAAACCTTCGTTCGTTTCGCGAAGTTTTTTACATAAGCTAATATCAATAGAACCGTACTAACAATTGAAATTACCCAATTAGTTAATAGGAAATCTAATTATTAAAAAGTAATTAGTACGGTAAGTTTTTTTACATTTATCTAGATAAAGATTTTAATTGACTAGAAACAAGGTAGGAATTTCATTCTATTTTGGGTCCAAAACCTCAGTAATGAACAGATCATAGTAATAAACTCTTAAAAACTAGTAGGTAGGTACAGCAATTTTATTATTATTAAACAAGGCAAGTCAGCGTTTTAAATGATTGATGATCATCGCTGTAATAGTTTTTATAAACTACAGATGATACTGGTGAACGTGTGAAAATCGTGAAAGTTGTTAGAATGCCGACTTGTGATACGCATCGTGCATCATATTATAATAGTGACGTTGACGTAGGTATCAAAGACTAAAAAGGTTTTATTCTATGCAATGCATTACGATTACAGCCAAGGTATTTACCTTAATAACTTTTTAATGGAGAAAATCATCCAATGACCCCGTTTCCCGTCTTGGGTGAGGCGAGAAGGAGTGTCAGACTTATTGACTAAAAACCACCCCGTTCCGACTCCTCCTTCGAACCAGTGCCCCGGCAACCCGTTGAGTCTTTCGCGGCGGATATCTGTGTACTTAGTAACTATAACTATCAAATAATATCTTCTACAACCAATTACCTATATACTTGTAAGTTAGGTAGAATTAATGGGAATTGTGCAGTAGAAAATGATCTTCACATAAACAGTTCGATGGCTTTAGCCACTTCACAGAGTTCCTGTCAAGTTCCCGTAATACTTAACTACACCTATCGCAAATAAAATCCGACACCTAATAATTTTAAAATAAAATACTACAATACTAAAAAGAACCTGTCTGTTTTCGAATAACGTTTTGCTGCGTACCCATAAAAGGTATTATTTCAAACCTGTTTGTTAACCAGCTTCTTGTAGGAATATTTCGCAATTAAGTCACGTTTAAGCATTAAACTCAGTCATACATATTCAATGAACGTTTAACAGTAACTTGAGAACTGTTTAAGAACGGATTTGCGATTAAAATTTCGTTATTTCTGCATGTGTAAATAAGTTGCAAACTATTTATGTTCAAAGTTTAGCCATCTTATCTAACCATTATTTTTTTTTAAAACATACACACTCCTAAAAAGGCAAGGGTCGTCGCATCATAATTCCAAATTCGAAATGTTACATGGTACGTGGGACGATGAATAATATCTTCTTGCGCCGTAAGCGAATCGCAAAAAAAACTTGAAACTCACGTACCTTTCCGTGATTTCCAATAAAGTTTCCTCAAGTAATAGGCAGCTGCTACCAACAGTATTGCTGCAATAAAGGCACCGATTGCTGCGCCTGCGACACTGCCAGCACCATAGCACGTAGCAGCCTCTTGGCCAAAAACACAAGGCACAAAAACGGTCACAAACAATAACAAATTAATAAAAACACCCATTTTTTAATCCACACAAATTAACATCACTGTATATGGCACATAGATGGTTTGACGACGGACACCGATTACATTCCAAAAAAAATTGAATTTATCGAATTCAGAATGCGAAACTTTTTTTGCGTAACGATAAAGACGTGCGCCGCGTCAGCTAGCGCGGTCGACTGTGGTCGGGCCGTTCGTGTCGTTTCGGTTGTGAAAAGGCTGTGATTGTGGGAGAAAGAGAGAGCGTGTGTGAAGAACGTGTTTGGATTTGGACAGCGGATCATGCGCATTAGCACGGTGGATAGTGGATACAATATGTAGGTACCTGTGATTGTGATGGGTCCCCGGATACACAATGACAACGGACAAAAAATTAAATTAAAGACTCACGTTGTTTTATAGCCTTCCTCGATAAAATTAAATGGACTAGTATAGACTCTTAGACAGGTAGAGTACCTGACTTACTTAGCTATTTACATTCGAAAATCAGCTGAAATAGGTACCTAGATTATTGTAAATTAAAGATTATATCAGGAACGATAGGTATAAAAAATCTAACTATTCTACGGTTTCATGAAAAAATGTAAATAAAAATACCACGTGCTCCCGTCACAAAGATGCGCATACACACCTGTGCTTGTGACTAGTAGTCTAGTAGAAGCGAGTGAAGCGCAGCGCAGGTACATACGATGACACACACGCCGACACAAAACTCACTCACACACTTCAACTAGGTACTTATGTACATAACGTATGATGAGCATAGTTTGTTGTGTTGTGTGGTGCTTGTGATCTCCGATCCGATCCGATGTAGCGACATAATCACCTTTTTTATGAGGATCAGGTTTTATCGTATCAAGCACTGTAATAGAAAACAGTGATTGTAAAAAAATCAAAGCGTAAAATAGAACTAAGATATTTTTTATCTGTAAGGTAGTCAGCATAGTTACCTTCAAGACTACAATTTGTGTTTTATTATTCTGTGGTTTGGTGACGTGATAAGATGTCAGTAAAGCGAAAATGAAAAATATTTAAGTATCTACCTAAATATTTGACAAATTTTTACATCTATTCGACTGCTTTTTTTATTCAATTTTGTAATTTATTTTTTCTCTAACAAAAAATATTACTCTATTCAATTCTATTACAATTTTACTTCATTTTATCTTGACATTGTATTGCTTTTGTTAGGTACTGATTTCATTGAAGGTAATATTTTTTTTTTCTCGAATAGCGTGTCAAAGTTTGTAGGTACCCTCCGAATCTTATATTGTTGTGATTTTGTGATCGACAGGGTCTACATTGTGTCCTAATTACGTTTACCACCTTATTCATACATGTGGAAAGCAATAAAGAATTGAGTATTGAGTACTTAGCTTACCTACCTATGTTATTTAGGCTAGTGTAAGTACATACGGCTCCACATCGAGCTTTACATAACCAGTATAAACTGAACGTTAAATGTGCGGAAAGATGATGCGACGCGACACCAGGATAAACTGGTTTTGTATAGATTGATGTGTGGCCGTGTTTCTTGTCAAATAAACAAATTGATTGTTGTAAAATGAAAGCTTTGACTGTGATAGATATAGTAAAGAAGGAGATATGGTGTTACTGTGGAGTACCTACTGTTTTTAATACATGTATTTTCTGTGGTGATTACTAAATGCCTTTTTCATCTTCCCACCATGCCATGGGTGCATGGTTATGTTTTTATGCGGATAAGGCGATAAACGGGCAGACGGATCGCCCTGATGATGGTCATAAATAATCGGTGCCGCCCATGGACACCCGAAATACCAGAGGCGTTACAAGTGCGTTGCCGGGGGTTTTGGGGGTTAGAAATTAGAGGATTGTTGGGTAAACAATTGGAAATTAGGTAGGGGGGTAGTTGGGCTTCAGGTAACCTCACTCACACGATGAAACACAATGCAAGCGCGGACTCACGTCGGTTTTCTGTAAGGTCTTGGTGTATCACTCCGGTCGAGCCGGTCTATTCGTAGCAAAACATGGCTCTCCCATAAGTCTTGCGTTTCATTAATTGCAATAAGTACCATTAACAAGTTTCGTAACAAAATATATTTATATTTAGATATCTTATAGCAATAAATTATTATAAAATCTTGAATCGTAATTCACCATAACTTGTCTGGTTACTGGCTAGCTAATAATATGTAAAGTTATTGGGGTAAGTGTTACTAAAATATTTAGAATTCCGTTTTTTCTAACAACTTGTTGTTTTGGATTACAAAATGATTTTGCGTCATCTTGGTTAGTTTGCCAAGCGGATTACCGGGGCTCCGGCTCGACGTGCAGGAGAAGGAACGGGGTGGTTTTTAGTCAATAAGATTCTGACACTCCCTCCCGGCTCGCCCAGGCGGGAGCAGTTATTCGATGATTTTCTCCTCTAGGTAGGTAAGTACCTACTTTATTTGTACGGATCATAGATATGTACCTATAATATTTTTTTCTGTGGTTAGGACACCCCCTTTTTTGTTAAGGGGGGAAAAACGACTGCACGGTTGGTGCGGTGGCTGGGCAACTGGCTGCCGTGCAACGTGTCGCGGGTTCGATTCCCGCACGGAACAACACTTTGTGTGATCCACAACTTGTTGTTTGTAAACGCACCCACGACACAGGAGATAATCCTAGTGTGGGGGCAACGTTAAGGTTTGAAAAAAAAAATGTTTGATTTACGTTTAAAGTATTCGAAACGAGTACGCATTCTACACTCTGATTGGCCGGCGCTAATGAACCAACGAATCACAGCGCTGAACGCGTACTCGTTACGATTACTTTAAGCGTAAAACAAACTCGTACTAAGGCCTCTGATTGGTCGGCTCCAATGAACTAACCAATCAGAGCGACGAACGAGGTTTCGGTTCGATTACTTTACACGTAAGACAAACTTGTACTAAGACTAAGGCCTCTGGTGTCACTGCGGGTGTTATAGACGACATTGGTTACAATCAGGTGATATGCCTCCTCAGTTGTCTGAGTCTCCTTACTTCATAATATAACATATGCGCCTTTTTAACCCCGAAGGGGTGGGTAGAGTTGCACAGTAGGGCTCTTAATACCACTCTACAATGTAACACCCACTCTCCTTACTTTATAAAAAACTAGCGACCCGCCCCGGCTTCGCACGGGTGCAATATGCATGTATTACATACAAACCTTCCTTAAGAATCACTCTATCTATTAAAAAAAACCGCATCAAAATCCGTTGCGTAGTTTTAAAGATCTAAGCATACATACGGACATACAGCGAAAGCGACTTTGTTTTATACTATGTATGTATTGATTGATTATGTACGAAGATGTAGATACAAAATATTTATAAACTTTTCCTATTACCTTGTATTAAATCTACCTTATAGTGACTATCCGGTTATTTTACATAAATATGCCGTTGTGTTGGTCTTGTGGTATAAATAAATAAAACTTCAGTTAAGTAGGTATTACAGATTCTTCCCTGTGCGATTTCATTCTGTGACTCGGTTGGCGGTTCCTCTAAGATCAATGTCCCTAAATCGCAGGAATGGTGCAAACTCAGAGAACACGCATATTCATGTTTTCGAATGATTCCAAATTACACAAAAGATCACAACTTCGGGCATTACTTCTCATAATGACCTATTTTGACCACCTCCTCTCTCTAGATCTTGTTTCTAATCTAGTAGCGACATCTAGTGCTAAAAACACGAAACATAGCTTAGTGCTGTTGTTACACTAATCTAATCACTTAATTTTAATGCAGACGATTATTTAGTTTATTCCAAAATTATATACTTGTTAATAACCACTATAATAAAGTCAAGGATTTATGCATGTAAAAGCTATTTACCTTTTAACATTTTATATTAAAGTATTACATATAATGAAAATAAAAACTAAATCGTGTTGTTGATCATTTCGCATTAATCGCTGTGAAATTAGTTCATGACGAATAATTTCTTATACTCACACATCATATTTTGATATTAAAATAATCGACTAAACGAAGAATCTAGACATCCCTAAAACAGCGACATTTTTAATCTGACGTTTGACTTTGATTTTCTCCGAAATTTATTACCGGCAGAGTAATTTTTCGTTGAAGACAGTTGTTTATCCATACTATACTTGTATGTTTCCATAAACATGGAAAACGATATATTGGATTCATTAAACGATTTGGGGTAAGATTTCTTATGCAGTTATAGGTTATAATATGCTTTACTTTGATCTATACTTACCTCGGTAGTATTAAACATATAATTGTTTTAAAATTACTAAATATTTTCGCAATGTTTCATGCATTTTAAACATATTAAATTTATTTTTTGTACTAAATTATTACGCTTAAACGTGTTTTTTAATTAGTTAAAACGTGGCTAGAATAGTAGTGGTCTGAAAAATAATCAATATGCTAACTTATTAGATTTTGTTGCGTTGGCTAATAATCTAAACAATTACTATCTTTAGTGTTTAATTAATGGTCGATTTAAATAATAATATTAGTCATAAAAATTAAATTAATATTGTATTAATGCACTAGGTACTTTCAAATAATTTTAGATCGATGGCCTAATTGGTTTTTTTTTTAATATGGCAGAAACTAAGATCAATGTGTATACAGCCAATAGATTTGAGAAATAAATGCAATTGTGCTTATTATCATGAAATTTTTGGAAATACTGATAACATTCAATGTTTAATGTGGTTTTAGTTCAATGAGTCATGTAGTTATTAAGTTGTGCAACATAAAGAAATTTTTTATTAAAATTATTAAACAACATATTTTTGAAATAATTACAATCGAATCTTTTTAATTACAATCAAATAAAGTAGTACATATTGTTTAAAATTGTGTAAAATAACATAAAATATTGTATTTGGCTTATAATTATAGTTTCTTTTTGCTTATTAGATAAGCTTTGTCTTATGAAAAATTACATTATTATTTATGTAAATTATATAAAAAAATATAAGTAAAAAAGTATTTTTTTCAAAATCCAAAATGTGGTGTGGTTTAGGTAAGGTACACATACTTACATCTAATTTAACACCCACACCCACATTTCACCAAATACCTATCTATTTATTTAGTTTATGAGCCTACATGGCTCTTGAAGATGAGCCGGGTTTCCTCACAATGTTTTCCTTCAACATTTGTCAGTGGTGTTAAAATAATCTTAGAA